AGAATCGTACCATTATGAATGCAGTCAGAGCAGTACTTCATGACAAGCAAATTCCAAAATCCTTCTGGCCTGAGGCAGTACGATGGTGTGTTCATGTCCAAAACCGAAGCCCAACCTCTGCCTTAGATCAAGGGACTCCAGAAGAAGTGTGGAGTGGAGTAAAGCCATGTGTTGATTATTTTCGTACATTTGGATGTGTTGCACATGTCCACGTTCCAGATCAAAGGCGCAACAAACTAGATGCAAAGAGACAACAATGTGTTCTCTTAGGTGTGAGTGATGAGACAAAAGCTTACAAGCTTTATGACCCTATTACACAGAAGGTCATTGTAAGTCGAGATGTGGTGTTTGAAGAAAATAAAGCCTGGAATTGGAATGCACAGACAAATGGAGGTACATCTCTTGTTCTTGATTTAGGAGACAAAGAAGAAATCAAAACTGCAGAATCTGCATCTCAACAAACAGAAGTAAGTCATGATCGATCAGAAACACTTGAGCCCACTGTAGATTCAACACCCACAACACCCACTGATTCTCCTGTTGAAGGGAGGGTAACCAGGACTCGGAGACAACCATCATGGATGACTGACTACGAGACCAACCTATCCCTTGAAGAGAACAGCTTGTTGGCAATGATGATAACTGATTCTGTAGATCCTCAATCCTTTAAAGAAGCCTACATGAGTCAGAACTGGAGGGAAGCAATGGACACTGAGATGAAATCAATTGAAAAAAACAACACATGGGAGCTTGTAGAACTTCCAAATGGTATTAAACCCATTGGCGTAAAATGGGTCTTCAAAACCAAACTCAATGAACATGGCCAGATTGAGAAACATAAAGCCAGGTTAGTAGCCAAGGGCTATGCCCAGCAGTATGGAATCAATTATACTGAAGTATTTGCACCTGTTGCTAGACTTGACACAGTAAGAGTAATATTAGCAGTGGCAGCTCAATATTCATGGGAAGTATTCCAGCTCGATGTTAAAAGCGCATTCTTACATGGTGAACTTCAGGAGGAAGTATATGTTCAACAACCTGATGGTTTTATCACGAAAGGTAAAGAAAATCACGTATACAAACTCAAGAAAGCTCTATATGGACTCAGACAGGCTCCACGAACCTGGTATAGCAAAATAGAAGCCTATTTTGCCAAAGAAAAATTCATACGGTGCTCTAGTGAACACACCTTGTTCACAAAAAAGGTTCGTGATAAATTTTTAATTGTTAGCCTCTATGTTGATGATCTGATTTTTACTGGAAATTGCAAGAGTATATGTGAAGAGTTCAAGAGCTCCATGCAGTTAGAATTTGACATGACTGATCTGGGTAAAATGAGACATTTTCTTGGAATAGAAGTGATAAAAAATGAAGCAGGAATTTTCATCTGTCAAAGACAGTATGCACGTGAGATATTAGTCCGATTTAACATGCTAGAAAGTAATTCTGTTCAAAATCCTATGGTACCTGGAACTATACTGTCTAAGGATGATGAAGGGGCACCAGTAGATGCCACAAAGTTTAAACAAGTTGTTGGGAGTCTCATGTATTTGACAGTCACACGACCAGATTTAATGTTTGGTGTAAGTTTAATCGGCAGGTACATGGCCAATCCAAAGGAATCACATTGGGCTGCAACAAAACGAATTCTCGTGTACTTAAAAGGCACCATAGATCACGGTCTTTTCTATCAAAAAGGAAAAGAAATAGATTTTACAGACCTATAGTGATAGCAATTATGCGGGAGACTTGGATGATAGAAGAAGCACATCCGGATCGGTATTTATGATGGGAACTGCAACTGTATCATGGGCTTCAAAAAACGAACTGTAGTTAGCTTATCTACTACGAAGCTGAATACATTGCTGCAGAGCATCTTGTGCATGTCAATGCATTTGGCTTAGAAGAGTTCTTGAGCATCTTGGATTAGAAGAAAAAGAAGCCACAAAAATTCTATGTGACAACAATTCTACAATTCAATTATCCAAAAACCCTGTTTTCCATGGAAGAAGTAAACATATTGCGGTAAGATTTCACTTTCTGCGAGATTTGGTGAATGACCAAGTAGTTCAACTCATTTACTGCAATACAAATGAACAAGTGGCTGACGTGATGACTAAGGCTGTGAAGCTCGACCAATTTGAAAAGTTCAAACACATGCTTGGTGTGGTTAAGATAACTGAAATAAGCTAAAAGCTTAAGGGAGGGTATGTTAGTTATTTTACGTGTCAATAAAGCTCCTAAAATATAGGGCTGAACAAGTATTTAATTTGTTGCAATATTTACTCCTAGTTTAATGACACTTAGTGTGCAATTGCAGTTAGTTTATTTTATCAGAGTCTGTAAGGCTTATTTAAGCCATTCTTTGTATTGAATAAAATAAACGAGTGCACAAATATTCTTCTGTAAGTTTACGCATACCTGCAGAATTAACAGTTCTATCCTTTTTTGGTATTGTGGTACATACAAGTTGCGTATTATTAGACAGGTTGATCTTTTTCGTTAATAATTTGTTTAATTTTACTAACATATTTATATAATGCTCTTTTCTATATATTATTCCACAGCTCTATTTTTTAAATATCAAAACTTTAGTTCATACTATTACAATACAAATATATATATTTATTTAATCTCAAATTTTAATAATTTTCCAAAATTTTGATTTTTTTAATAATCTAAACTGATTTTTTTTAAATATCTAATTAGTAGTGATATATTGATAACTAGAAATCATACCACTCTTCAAACAACTCACTTTTATTAATATAATAATCTATAGAATGATTTAATAAAAATAAAAATAAATTAAAATTATTATTATAATATTAAAAAAGAGTTGTTTATAGGAATGGTATGGATTTGAGTTATGAACATTTTTTTTAATTTCATATTAAAAATAAAAACTAGACTACCGGCACTTATTTTATTTAACTGTTATTATATGTCTTAATTAATAACTACAAAAGTATTACTAGAATGATTACGATTTAATTGTATTTTAGTTCCAGAATAATTTTTCAAACTAACAACTTATGATTATAAAAACATTTTTAAACACTCATTTTTATTGTCTTCTAAGTATAAGTTATTTACACATTTGGTTTGCATTCAAGTGAAACATAAACAATAATCCAAGTTCAAAATTAACAATTTATATTTTTCACATTTATAATTTAAATATGAAAGTTCAAGTATAACTTCTGTAACTTCCATTAGTAATTAAGATGATTTTATATTTGATAAATTCACTTCTATTTTTATTTTTCTTTATAATTTTCTTTTTAAAGTTACTGGTAGTTAAGTATATAATAGGCATATTAATTTATCTTTATTTTAAATATAATAAAAAAATTTGCGTCAATTAGACGTTCACGTAAATTTAATTTTTTTCTCCTTTAAGACGTTGAGAATAGATAATTCAATCTTCGTTCTAAAACAATTTCTTCTCTATTTTTATACCCTTCACTTCTTACCGTTTTCCCTCCATTATCTTATTTACTTAGTTATTATCATGTTTACTCATAAGTCTTATACTATATATATATATATATATATATATATATATATATATATATATATATATATATATATATATATATATATATCTTTTCAACAAAAAAAACTGTGATAGATTATATTTTAAAAATATATAATATGTGGGACATGATAAAATACACTAATAACATTATCATATTGATATAAAATTAGGATACTCTGATGTGTACTATGATATCGATGGACTATAATTTCGATTTAATTTTACTCTTTAATCCTTGTACCATGTTACATTACATTTATAAGCCTGATCTTCCTTAAAATTTAAAATAAAGTACAATTTATATTATATATAATCTCTCTCAAGTCACCAAAATAACAAATCATATAAAAAAATTCAAAATCATTGATATCTTTAATGTAAGATCTGTACCAAAACCGACATTAACAAATCATCGGTTCGAACTTTGTTTGACTTTTTACAAATATACTAATTCTTGTGCCAATTAAGACGAAATAAATGTGTTAGTAATTTTGTGGAACCACCATGTGACGCTGCATTTTGTCACCTGGCATGTGCTTTTGAATGAAGGAATTTATGATTTTGGTTTTGGTCCTTCATGCACATTTATGAGAACTCCATATATGGTAATTTATATAACAAACCTACCATGAAATCACTCTATGGAAACTCAAATAATGTTATTAGCTTTTGATTGCAGTGGGGCTTTAACAAATAGAATAATATTAATTCCTTTCCTTGTTTGGAAGCTTCTCAATCCTAATTCACACGAAGATATATATATATATATATATCTTAAATACAATTTTTTAATTAGAGTTCCATTTTAACAATTATAAAAAAATTAATATAATCATATTATGCAGATTATCAAGATAAAATTTCAATTAATCTAAATATTTTATCCAAACTTTTTTTCTTGAACCAAACTCATATACAGCAGTTACCTAACCTTTGTTTAATGCTGTTCATAGGACAAGTATATTTGAGAAACTTTAATGATAGTTAAAGAAATGACACTTTTGTGGGGGACCTTGTTCTCTTGAGTTTTCTTTTTTTCAGTACAATTATTTTTATTTGTAAATTTTAATATATAATATACTCTTTTAAAGTTTTTATTGTAAAAATAATTATACATTTATCATTTCTAAAACAATTGATGTGTCATTTCTTTCTCTTTTAATAGTTCTTTCCTTTATAATAATAATAATATTATTATTATTTTAAAATTATAAAATACGTGAGAAAGAACAGCTTCTGTTTGTCACTGCTCAAAGTAGAAAAAAAAATAAAAATAACAGGGTAATTTATATATTTTCAGCAAGAATTATAACCCTTACAAAAAGTAAATTCTTGAAGCTATCTCCCTTAATTTCACCTTTATCAAGTCTTTCCTTAAATATTCCAAGCATAAAACTAGTTTACTAATTCATCTAGAAACGAGTACTTATCACTAATCCTTGCTGCAGTGTTTATGTAATTACAAAGCTGTCAATGGCATCAATTGTTGTTCAACTTCTTCCCAGTTCTTAACTTTGATCACCAGGGGATGCTGATCAACAAAATCAGTCTTGGACCAAGGGTATGAGTTTTCATAATTAAAGAGTAAGACTCCAATTCCCGCTTCGGCGCACTCTATGGCATATCTTGGATTATCATCGATGAGAACCTTAGCATTTAAAGACCTAACAGTATACAAAGAATCTATCAACAACAAATCATTGCAGCTAATAAGCTAGCAGCTTCTTTTATCTGTCTATCTAGAGAATAGGTCAAAATGTTGGCAATGCAACAATGGTTTTAGGCAAAAGCAGAGAAATGAAGGTGAACATGATTAAGTTGCATACCTACAAATCTCTGACTTCGGTCTGGACTCTCCATCAAGAGCAAAGTGGTTGCCAAAGTGAATATCCTGAAACAATCCTGAAAAATGCTTCTCTATCCACTCAATTGTGTGATCCTTGATCACATTTTGCCGAGATCTGATCATAAAATATACCAATGGCTGTTAGTTCATGCTGACAAGATTATGCTACAGGTTAAAAAAAACTCAATAACAACATCATACGTTACAACTGATAGGTTACAAAATCTTGATAACTTCTGCAAGGACGTCAGAGCACCTGGGATAGGTTGGATCCCTGACTTGAAGTATGATGTCTCGAAAAATTCATGAACACGAGTATTTGCTGCACAACATGAAGTACTCAGTACAAAGCCTAAGAATGTGAATATAAATGGACTTGATAAAGTTTCTGAATTGTTTCATTCTTCACCTAATCAAATGTTTAGGTATAAGAATAAGATTATGGTACTGGTTGTATCCATTAAAACACATATTTTCATAAGAAATGGAGTGGGAGGAGTGAAGAATGATTCACAATTTCAAACAATGCAATATCCATGTGATTGACAGATAGTAATCACCTTCGTCACGTGAACAGTTCCATATCTGTTTCAGAAATGAAAGGTGCATCAGACTCATAGACATGCCCATTTAAGGCCATCAAATGGAATCAATAATAATAAAAGTACAGATTATCTTTTTAGTGAAATTTTCATTCGGAGCAACAGCATCATACTCGCATACACACATGCTCATTCAATGCAATACAATGGTTTAAACGAGTCATTAAAACACAAAATAGCTTTTCATCAAAGAAATTTTCATTCATAGTAACAAGGTGGTTGAAGCCAGATATAATTGACCATACACTAAGTTGCAGATCAAGGCAAGACAGTACAAAAGTACTGAAAAAGAGAAAGGACAAAAAATCTACAAACGCCAAGAAACCCATCATAGAACAGAATTAAGAGTTAGAACTATATAAATGGAAACATGCTGTTCTGTAAAGCTAACATAAATGCGTGTTTTCATTAATAAAAGCAGTTACTTATAGTTATATATCTAATCACAATTCAAATTGTGAATCATTATGATAATTTTTGAAACTTGAATCATAAATTGTATCAAACTTAATGTTTCAAAGACAGTGAAAAGTAGCTTGAAATATAACACAAATAATCTATTGTTATTCAATGTAATAGAAAATGAAAGAGTTGCAAACAATTTAGGGATCTAAACAATATTCAGGGGCAATGTGGATTTATTCCTCTGCCCCTGCCGGATCTTGTACATTAACCCATCAACTAAATTAGTAATACAGATACGACTTCCTTACTATGAACAAAGCAGTAAATGGAAGACTTTCACTTATGATGGTTCATTTTGGTAGAGTTTTGAAGGCATGTTGGAACTTAGCCAAATATATCAAATGGATTTGTTCTATGTTGGTGTACTTCTAAAAGAAACAAGAATAGGAAAAGAGGTTAAATAAGTACTACATGGTGTAGAACCAAGGAAAACAGAACAGAATGTCTGTTTGCATGCCAAACACTATGGTTGAGGGGAGGAGAACAGATAAGAACATGTAGTACTACATGACAAAAACCAGCCATTGTAGTTGGAGAGCCCAAGGCCTTATAAATCCCACACTAGGATCCTGCTTACAATGTGAGACTCAAGTCCTACACCTTGCTAGAGTAATTGAGTCCTTACACAACTCTAAGCAAACAAATCCTTAAAATTAAATGTATATAATTATCAATCACCAATACTTGATTAAACTTAAAATGACATCATGCAAGATCAATAGCAATGAAAATTAAATAATCTCAAATACATAAAAGTTGGGTTTCCATGCAACTGTTAATGACTTCTAATGCTATGTAATTTCAGGTTACAAGTCTTTCATAGAGGATTGGTTAACGAGGGGTAAAACGAGCCTTTGAAAGATCATGCAAATTATTATAATATTTAAAATTCCAAATTTCCAAAATACTTGTTGTCATTAAAAAATAGAATTACTGAAATAACTGAGACGTACCTTGAAGAACTCATACACATGATACTCAGAAACTGAATGATTTGATGAGTATCGATCTGCTATGAACTCGTTCAGAGCTGAGACAAAGTTTCCTAATACTGCTTATATAAAGATGCAAATGGAAAAGGTACACATTAGAGGAAATCAAGTGGATACGATAGAGTAAAGTTAACATTCTTTGAGTGGCCAAGAACGTTATAAGTTCACATATAAGAAAGAGAAAGAAATGGAAAACCGCTTCAACTCAAACATTGACCATGTAAATTAAGGAAAATATACAAGTAACATGCAGTAAGCTTCTATTTGAATTACAGAATTAACTGACTATTTCATGACCCAGGGAAGCGATTTTTGTCTTTGTTTCTTAATCATTTAATATTGTTTGAAAAACACTAAAATATAAAATGAAAGGAAATGTAGTATATATCCAGACTAATTAATGAAACTGGAACAGGACAACTATTAAGTCCAGGTTCTTCATAGAAAATTATAAGACAAAACAGCTAAACTAAGCTTCCTAACAAGATAACATATAAGACAAAAAGATGGGGAACGCATGCATGGATAAAGACATACCTTCATCAACATCAACAGCAACAACAAGTTTCTGGGGTAATTGTTGATCAGGGAAACAAAAGGGTTTGGAGGGACTTCCACCCAGAGGTTTACCTTGAACAGAAATACCATTCTCTAAATCACCTAACAAGGGTGGGTGAGTAAGAGAAGGAAAACCATAAAGCTTTTTCTTTTCCTTCACAAAGACCCTATTAACATTATCACCAGCATTGGCATCAGAGCAGGCTTTAAGAGTGAATCCAATGCTTCTGTTAGCCTCAGAGGAAGAAATAAAAGGGTAATTGAAAAAGGCCCTACTTAAATGAGAACAAGTATCATAGGCTAACAAATGAGCCATGAGAAGAAGAATATTACAGCAATGTAGAAAAAGGGGAGAGACTGCTGAAACAAGAAGCGCACAGGGCCTTGCAGGTTCTTCAATTTAAATAGAAGAACACCATAATCTTTGTAAAAAAAAAAAAAAGTAATATTCCCTTCCAAAAAAGCCAAGGTCTTTGACTTGCCAATCAATAGAACAATTTAACTATGCATTAAGGAACAAACTTTCATTGGACACTCTCATTCGGCAACAAAAGGGTCTCTTCCTAACGCAACCTAAAAAGAGAAAACTTCAAAATGAGAATGATTTCAGAAAATAAAAAACAAAACTTGGCACATCCCAGGTCCAAAACCAAACAGAATTGACATAAAACCTGCGAAAATAATGGCTTGGCACAAGAAGAATTTCTAGAAGATGCTCCAAAGCTCAAAACCGAATATGCATTAAATTAAAAGAAAACAAGAGGGAATGGAAAAGGAAGTAGAAATTGCTCGGATCTTAGATGCTCAACTCCTCTTGTTTCTTTCCTAACTTAATATACAGGATCAAGGCGGCACATGAAGACACAGGTCTTTCTTTTGAATGAATACTAATATTTAATTTGATAATTAATACAATCTCTGTCGTCGGGAAAAAGAGAATCAGAAAACCCAAAAAAAGGGATAATCAGGATATTTTAGCGCAGATTTCTGGGCTTGATTTTCTGTTTTCCTCGCTCCATTTTGGGTATAATTTTTCTGACCAAAGACAAAAAGGGGATTGATTGATGCCATAGGTTACAAAGGTATTTTGAGATTTTAATGTAATTATTTTTTATAATAATATAATAATAAAAATATAGTATAAAAATAGTATTATACTATTATAAAAAAGTTATTATAAGAAAAAATCGATTATCAAAATATAATTATTTTTACGGAAATTTGTCATTATAATTATAATTCTGACATATTTAGTTAAATAAATTATTTGATTATTCTAAATTTTTCCTTCACTGTGGTTTTGTTTTTCCAAAAATTTAGGTCTACGGGGAGGGAGAAATTGAAAATAAGAGAAACGGGAGAAGGTTGTGTGATTTGTTTAAACAAATGTATGTTATTATGTTAAAATAAAATTTTTAAAATGTTATAATAATTACAAAGATAGTTATAATTAACTAAGGATATACTTTTTTATTATAATAATAATAATAAATAATTATCAAATGATTTAATACTGATTGGTTGATAGATTTCATCGGAATAAATATTGAATAAACACCCTTTTTCTCATTTATTTTGTCCCATCTTATATCATATATAATTATTATTTTTTTCACCACAAATTTTGTGTTAAAATAAGATGTGCAACTAAAGGTGTGAAGTGGATATAAACCAATAACAAATACATTTTTAGATTGATGTTTTTAAAATTATTCATTGATTCTTTATCAGAAGAATATATTTATTGATATAAAATGATAAAAAAATAAAAAAATATTTTCTCTTATGGTGGGAATTAACTCAACAGCTCTAACCATCTTCGATTAAAATGCATGATTTATACAATTTTGAAAACTAGTTTAGATTTTAGCCATTTTTATTTTAGTTTTTGTTTTTATCATTCTAATCTTTAATTGCAGAAATCAAATAATCATAATTTTGGATAGAGTACTTAATGTTTCTCACTGATATATATAATAAAAGTAACCGATAAAAGAAAACAGAACAAATAGTAACTAATCAATGCAAAATAATGTAGAAAATAATAAAGAAGAAAGCAAAAATATCTTAAGATACTAATCCTTAAAAATTATGAATTTTTCTTGAAAAAAAGTTTAACCGTGTCATTAATTATATACTCAGAGGAGTGTATAAATTGAAAAATTGTAAATGATAAAAAATTGAAAAATTGTAAATGATAAAAAATTGAAATTTTTTCTAATAACAACCATTTATAGGAAATAAAAACAGGGGAACAGGAATCTTAATCACCAATTAACCTAAGATGAGCACATATAACAATCATATATAACAAATAAAAATCAAATATACTGTTCTTCCTTTGAAGTTGAACTGAAAATTTCGGTAAAATCAGATTTTGAATTGTAAATTCGATGAAATAACTTCTTTGTTTGAAAATAATATAGACTCACATGTGTATGGAAACTAATGTATCCCAGAACAAGTGGTAGAATGATAAAATAATTCTCTAATTGTATCTCTTTATATAAGAGCACAAGATAAAAAAATAAATAACTTATTTAAAATATTATATAAAATAAGATATAAAAAGTTAATAAAATAATATATACTAAAATATTTTTAATGAATTTTGACAAAGTAATTACCTATATTTCTTCTTTATTTAATTTGTTATACTGAAAATTTATTGGCCCATGGTCAATAAATGAACAGAAGATTTAAAATAAAATAACATTTTATTAAAAAATAGGAAAACAGAAAAGCGATGAGCTCCGTCGTTGGCCTTCGCCGGACGTGATCTTCGACGGTGGTTTGTCGAATTAATAGTGGGCTTTATTTGGGCCTAAACGCATGTGAGCATGGCTAAGTCCAAATTCTGCTTTATTTTAAATTTTATTTTATTTTTTCATTTTATTCTTCTAATATATCCATCTTTTTAATTTTTTATTCTCTTTCTCATATTTGTACTATTTTTTAAATATATGAATTATAATAATTATTTTTTTAACATTATAATAATTTTTTTATATTATAAAAACGCTGTTAAAAATAAATTTGTTTATATATAACTAAAAAATTATAGATAATATATATATAAAAGTTGGAAGGGATATATATGTGCCCGTAATTGTAATTGTAATCTTCTTATTCAGTAGTAATACTAAAATAATAAAGAAAATATTTGTTTATCCCTTATTTGTTTTTTCACAAGTTTATTTTAATCTTTATATTTTTAAATTAATCCTTTTTATCATTCAATTTCGTAAAATATATATTTTAAATACATTTAATATTCAATTATCATTTTCTTTTTAAAAAAATTGATAAAATGATCAAATATAATTTTAATCATTCTTTATACTTTTCAAAGTAGGAGGACTGATTCGTTAACTTTTAAACTGTAAAAACTAAACCAATTTTCATAAAAAATACAAGATAGAAATATATTTATTCATAAAATATCAAGTTATATTAAGTTAATATTAAAATAAATAATAAATTTAATTAATCAATTTTTTTAGTAATAATCACTTTATTATAGTCTTGTAATCTTGTTATTTAATTAAAATTACTTTAGATATCTCTTAGTTTAATCATGTAAATATTAAATATTTTTTTAGTAAAAATCACTTTATTATATTCTTCTAATCTAATTATTTTATTATATAAAAATTAATTAACATTAATTTAAATGTATTTTATTTTGATTATGTAAAAACTAATTAAAATCAGTTTTCGATGCACCTTCTATTTGTTCCAGTACAAATAATTTAAATTTCTTCATATACATTTTTAACCTCTAAAAAAAATACAAATTATTTTAGATGTATTTTTATTTTGATTATGTAAAAATTAATTAAAATTCTCGTAATTAAGAGAGAGGGAACAAGACTACTAAAATCATTAACATATCATTATCTTTTATTTTTACATCAATATCATGAAACTCTAATTAAATAGAATTTAAAGATTTTGCTTCACAAACATGTTTTCCTTCTCAAACAACCATTCTTTCAACAACAACTTATTGTAGATGGATTTTGTCATTAATATTTTCTTGAGCTTCCAAAAAGCTTAAAAAAGTTTCTTCAGAAACTTCATACAAAATTTCATTAAATAGACACAAAAGAATAATAAGTTAATGAGTTCTCTTCTTATTACTCCAAAAAAATTTTGTCCAACTTTTACTATTTGTTGGAAATTATGCTCGAATTCTTGTTCTTTCAACAAGGTTCATATCTTGATGCAACATAGGTTAAAACTATTCTTCTTAGTAAATTTCTCAATTTTGATGTATTTCACCATCTTCTTATTGAAAACATAACATGAAAACAGTGATTGATATTAAAAGGTTAAGATCTACCATGAATAAAGCAAAACAAAATGCGAATGGATCAAAATCAAGCACTTGATACCATTTTTTTTACAGAAAATTTGAGAAACTATGAACAAACATTTGAGAAGAAAAAAACTTTTATAGAAAGACTAATTTTTAATTAAAAAATAAAATTGATTAGAATGTTTATTTTTTATGTTAAAAATCATTTATAGTTACAAGATACTTCTTTATGCATGTCTGTGTGTTGTGTGTAATAAGTTGATAATAACTATTTAAGAGATGTAACTAATTAAGAACATGAAATAGTTAATTAGAAAACACATTATCACTGTTCACTAAGACTTAACATTCCAAATTGAATTTGAATAAATAATTCATAACTTTGATGCACAGTTGAATCTTGTTGAAAGATGTAAGTTATGTTAAATGTATTTTTAAAACTTGTAAACTAAATTGTATATGAGAGAAAAGTGAATTATGATTATTTAAACTATTTTTTTAATTATCATAACTTTTTAAAATATGATTAAAGTAATTATTTCACAAATCTTAATTGATATTCATAGTTTATGATTGATATTTGATGTACTATATAGGAAAATTATTCTGAAACTCATATTGATATTCTGCATATTCTTGATTACTCATTTAACCTACACATTCATAATGAAATCATTCAGATATTCAAAATATACACTTCATGACTCTATAATTAACCTAAAACTTATTTTTATAAATAATAACATATTTGATATTTGTCACGTTGATCTATAAATTTAAAATGTAGTAATATATATATATATATATATATATATATATATATATATATATATATATATATATATTAGTGCTTGACCCATTTTAATGTCATATAAGCACTTACCTCTCTTATAATATAATATGTAATGGAGTGAAGCAAAGCAAATATTAAATAATTAATTACAATCGATCTCAATTAGTTTAAGCCAAATTTTGTAGGATATGGTGATAAAAATTAAATGTTTTTATAAAATCAAATTGGTATCAATATGAAAATTAAATTCTTAAAAAAATTCTGATTAAATGATAATCAATACATTTATTAAGTTGCTGAAACTTTTTAATAATCTAAATTAGGATATCAATTGTCCAATCATGTTATAAGAATCCTTATAAATGATTATTGTATAGATTTCAACACTGATTTATCCAATCACACAACTCCTCAATTATAAAAAAAAAAACTCAATATAAAAGTAGTAATTATTGTACAAGTTAAAACCAAATAATTTTATCTAATCATAAGTGCCCAATTACCCACTAAATAATATTTTAATTGGAAGAGCAAATAATTTAAACATGTTTAAACAACAAGTAAAGAATACCCCTTAAATAGTTAAGAATATGTTTGTTTTTGTGTAGAGCGAAGTCAAATACAACTCCATGATCCATATTCAAGTTCAAATTATTTTAAATAATTTGTATTTTATTTACATAACAGATGAGCATAGAAGGTCAAAGTAGTAATTTCGGTGGGCCAGTAGGCCATGTGATTGCAACTTGTGGGAGACGCAAACCAGATAAGAAACAAATAAACTAAGCAAATAAAAAAGGAAAAACAAAAGCACAAAAAACACATGCTTCATTAAAAAAGTCGGCAATATTGATGTTTGGTCACACCGTAGGCTACAGGGAATCTACATAGCTTTTCTCGGAGCGTTGAAAATTCCCAGACACGCTTCCCCAAAATTTCATCCTTTTTCTTCTATCTTCTCTTTCTTCTTCTCAGTTTCCATTTCTCTCCTTCTGAATCCTCTCTGGTTTTCTCCGAACATGGGTGGTGCTGTCACTGTCAAGTCCGAGGTCTCCCTTCTAGAATCTTCTCCCCCTCCTGTGGAGAAACCTGAAGGAGTTTGTTCCAATACGGAGGAACACCACCTGGGCCAACCCAATATGCATGACTCCTCACCCAACAAGTACGCTTCCAATAACTCTTCTGTCTCGCTTTCTATGGATAAACACACACTCTCTTCCCACAAAGCCCCTTCCTTTTCTATTTCCTTTTTCAATTTATCGTATTTTCTGCCTTTACCCTTTTGATCTTGGCCAATTTTTGTGGATGCTGATTTGTCATGGATGAAGAATAATTCTTTGTGTTAGTTAAATGGTAGTTTCCGTTTGTGTGAGGTGAGATAGAGGACCCAATATGCTTTTGGGTTCTGTGTTGACATTTGATTGAGGAAAAAAGGAAAAATAGAGTATTTTGTGTTGGCTGAAAAGGGGTATTGTTTGGTGCTGGAGATATGTGTGATCGGGAAAAGTAACGGTAGGAATTTCGATTGTACTTGTAGATTGTAACCGTACCCTAAGTTTTCTGATGAATTGAGAGAACCTTTTAGTTGGACCCATCTTCTGGATTAGGTGAGTTATGTGAGCTAAGAAAGTTTTATATCGAGGGGATTTCATTTGGGTGATGATTGTTTTTCCTTTGCAAGAATGAAATTCTGGGAAATGGAACAGGGAAATATTTTCTAGGGCATAACCACATAACCTTGTTAAGTTAGGTGGAATCTGCTACGTTACATAGATCAATTGGTACCGTTTGACTCTATCAAAAACTAATTTTTCTTGGAAAGAATTTGGCATCTGCCATTTGGTCTTGTAAAATGATTTCTCTTGAAGTTTTGTTTGATCCACTTTAGTCATTCGTTGGAACCTCTGTTCATCCTCTCTCTCACATAATCAAACCACCCACCTGAAGCAAGTTTCTGTTTTCTTCTCCTTTGTAGGTGCTGTTCCATTTTTCTGTTAGATGTATTCGTTCCTAGAATCCTAGTCTTATCATTTTTTGTTTATTCACTCATTTAGCTTAATTCTGTTATATTTTCTGCACGTGTTGTTATCAATTTTTGTTCTCTAGTTGAAATTTTTTGACTTAAACTCGTACTGTAGAGTATTGTTTTCTTCAACTGTCGTGTAGAAGTTTTGCTTTGACTTTGATAGGCACTTTATTATCATACATTATACCTGAAACATCTCTTCATTTAATCCGGCTGGCTTGAATCATATTGGTGACGTCTCGATCAATCATTCAATCTCTTTGAAAGTAGATCCAAAATACCTAAATTTGGAACTTTTTGTAATTTATGATTTATGATCTTCAATTTTCTCCATTGAACATTTATAACCCACCCATGTATTTGTCTTACTCCCGTTTAATTAATAACCCTTTGATTTCAAAGCCTCTTCGCATCTCAAGTATAAAACTTACTCTTTCTCAGCTTCTCTCAACTCATCAACTTCAACTACAACTTTGCAGTAAAGGTATTAAGTTACTATCTCTTGATAGCTACCTGCAATATTGTTAAGCAACACTTATTAAGACACCTAAGTTAGTATTTGGATCATCTTATTTTATGAGAAAGAGACTTTTTTGTTTTAGTAGCTTCTTGATGTAGCTTTTAAAAAAGGACCATTTCCGTTGAAAAAGCTAAAACAAGCATGCACTTATACTAATATGTTTAGAGTTCAATTAAAAATTAATTCTTGACACAACTCTTTATAATTCAGAAAGCTTATCACTTAAAAATTTAGAAAATATAAGAAATTACTTATTAGGATTGAAGTATCGTTGATTCTAGAAAGTCCAAATTACAATTCACATCAAGTCCATACTAACCAATGGATATACATGTGTGTTTGTGTTTGGTTGTATATTTAAAATTTATTATTTTCTCTTTTAGGTCAGTGCCAGCATCTGGACTTAATGCAGTGATTCCTAGTACAAACCAACTTACCATCTTCTACAATGGGAGTGTTTGTGTCTATGATGGAATCCCTGCAGAAAAGGTATGCCCTTGCTGCACTTTTACATTACAAATAAATTTTGTAGCTGCTGTTCCTTCAGTCCAGGCTCTAACTTTACATGTTATGATGCAATCCCAATCATCGTTTTATTTACCAACAGGTGCATGAAATAATGCTCATTGCTGCAGCTGCTGCTGCCAAGTCTACTGAAATGAAGAAGATTGGGACCCAATCTACCCTCATTTCACCTGTTCCCACAAGGCCTTCTTCTCCACATGGAATCACTAACAATATTGCTTCCTCCCAGAAGAATTCCATCTGCAGGCTTCAAGGTGATACTTTTCTCATTTTCATGCTATAAATAATTGTCTTCTTTATAATTTACCATATAGCAATTGCATTGTCGGCTATTTTAACATGACAAACATTTAAATCTCTTGTGGCTTTTAACATTATCTTTCTTCAGAATTTCCAATAGCACGCAGGCATTCACTTCAAAGGTTTCTTGAGAAACGGCGAGATAGGTACTATGCCATGTTTATCTATTCAGTTTAGAACCTCCTATTTTCTTTATAGTATTCTTATTTGTATCATTTTTTTGGTTAAAGGTTGGGTAGCAAAGCTCCTTATCCTTCCTCATCAACTACAAAAGTGGAAGATAACATAGACAACAACTTTTGTGCTGACAATGCACCAGAACTGGTTTCCTTGAATCGAGCAGAGGAGGAATTTCAGCCAACTGTCTCTGCCTCTTGAGCATAAGTAGTGTTTGTTTTATATTATGTGGTGTGATAGTGTGGAAGACCATGACTTTACATGTAGTTGAACCACAGAAACCAATATACTAGTATTGTTAGGTTCTGAAGTCTATAAATGTGTTTTATATGTAACATAGCTATTGAACCTGAACCTGAACCTGAAATGGTCTGTAACAGTGTGACTTGAAAGTTGCATGTGTTCTAATCACCCCATATTTAACTGTTATTCCTGTATTTGATTATGTGAACAACTGATTATCTATTGTGGTGATGCTCCCTCCTCTGTTTTTATGACATCTTTTACTGTTTGTTCATTGTGGAAAAGGTTCGTAGGTGGAGTAATTGAATCACAATAATTTAAGATTTTAGAGTGTTGTAAATATCAGACAGAAAAAAAATTATTTTTCCATTTTTTTTCTTCATATTTTGTCAGACATCATTTTAATATTTGAAACCATTTTCGTATATTAAAAGTGAGGTAAAATTATATATTTGTTTAATTAGTTATGCAGTTTCAGTAGTGGTAAAATATTGTTTAGTTTCTGCATTTAAAAATGCCTTTTTGTTTTTACAATTATCTTTAATCATTTTTGGTCTTCATCAATTATTCCATTTTAATCTGTTGGATTCTGATATGAAAAAGGAGAAGGATAAAGCAAAGGATGATGCAGGAATGGTGTGATATAGTTAACGTTGAAATATACAAAATATAATTCTATTTGATTTAATCCTTATAAACACTGTTGTATTTATTTTGCTGACATTCTCGTAGTGTTATTTATTTTTTATTCTTTATAATTAATTTTAGCTACCGTAGTGCTAAAATAAGTTAACAAAATAAATAATTTAAGAGAATAATTATATGTTAACGTTTGTATTAAAAATTACAGGTTAGAAATTTTAAAATTCGATTTTATTTCGGCTTTTTTTTTAAATAATATTGAAGTTATGTTTTATAATATGATTTTACTTTTTCTTTTAAATAAGGTGTCACTCTAAAAGGAACTATTGAACTTTTTTTAGTTAAAATAATTTTTTTTCAATGATAGTATTCCAACAAAGTGAATGTGGCAAATTTACTTTAGAACACATGTTCACTTTTTTTTTTTTTTTAAGTTCTGTTTTAAAATATGATTTGTAAAAGAATATTTATATCTTAAAACATAACTTCTTTGTTAGAAATTGTGTTTTTAAAAAACTGGTTATATATATATATATATATATTTGAATATCTTTAAAAATCTACCTATCAATAAAGTTTTTAAAACTTTTCACAAATGTAATTTAATATGATATTTCAAACTTCGTTTTTAACTCAAAATTTATAAATTAAAAAAAAAAAACATTACAATTTAGAAATTTATTTATCTTTATCATTTATTTTGTAAAGTCTAATAATCTAAAATAATAATCCATCTCAATGACACGAACAATTTTTACGTAGTACCAACAAAGACACTGCATATTTTTAGCCAAATCTTGATAGGAGTCATATTACTAGAAAATAATCCTAAATCACGTTCCTAGAAAAATAACATCATTGGTAATTCCATTAGGCAAATTAATATTCTGCATGATGTATATTGTGTAAAAATTGTATCATTTATGCATAATGTTCAGTGAATTTGACTGACATTTAAGTGGTTCAGTGCAAGTTCACATGAATTCTAAGTTCGTGTTGTTCATAATTTTGAAGATTGTATAAAATACACGAGGCAGAAAATAACTAGTTATCATTTGAACAAGGTCGATACAGCCACTGTCAGTAAGTATGTATCACTAATTTTTATTTTATTTTATTTTATTTTGGCTGGAATGTCCTGTTTCCATGATTATGCAGGTCATGTATTATTTTGGACACAAAAGGGAAAAGATTTTTTACTTTCACCTTCTAAAATTATGAGTTGCATATATAATTAAATAATGCATTTTGAGTCATCTTCCGTGTAATCTAATTAATATGCCCTAGCTGCCAGCCCAATGACTGAGTCTTGTGAAACATAATAACAGCTATAAAAAAGGATATAGAGATAAAGTGACCTTATATTGACAATCCTAGGATGATCTTGTCAAGGGACGTTATGACAGATGGGGTTGAATATGGCCGGGATGGGACACTATTTTGATGATTATTCCTCTGGTAGATGCAGCATTCAATTTAATGTTGGATGTGAAGGGCAAGTCATAGCCCAGGGAAATTTAAGCTCAAATGGACAAAATGGGTACTGGGAATTCATACAATACTGGCTAAACCTAGTTATCTCCAGAAATTCAGATTGCATGTCTTCTATAGCTGAATATTTGTAGTTTGCAATGAATGAGTCTCCTTCCAGATTCCTGCTTTCGCTTTTTATTAATACATTGCTGCTTCATGTTAGGTTCTAAATGTTACATGTTGGTCCAAACTTTTAGCTTGTAAGAGTTGAACACTACATGATCATTGCTAACAATTCTAGGTGACTAGAGAAAACAGTCTTCAATTAAAAAGAAAATGATGAATGAATACGAGCCATTGGATCATATCAAAGTCGCTTGAAATGAGGAAAATGTCATAATAAAGAATTGTTGAAACCTCGGGTTACAAATGAAAACATGAAATACAAAGGATAGAGACTACTTAATTTAGAAATCTAGGCCATGTTCACGAGCTGCTTCAGCAAGTGCTTGAACACGGCCATGGTATGGGTATCCCCCTCTATCAAAGGCCACCTTTGTGATCCCCTTCTCCAAACAGGACTTTGCAATGATCTCACCCATCCTCTTTGCTACTTCCTGAAACCAAAAAATTCAAAGGATCAGGAACATCATCCAGTATATAGGGCAAATTTCTTGAAGACATTTATTACCACCATTGAAAATAATGTCTTTATATGATAGAGTTAGACATTTCTGAAACTAAAATGAAAGGAATCTGAATGTTACAACTGTTTTGGTACAGATATCGATTACGTTTTCAAGATTATAAGCTTAATTGAAAGTTTTAGTAGATTGTGGAGTTTCTGGAGTATTTTTCTTTTGATGAAACCATGCAAAATCCACAGTTGAATGGCCACTTTGGTTTGACTCTTTGCATCCTGCTTTCAGTATAAATTGCACATTAGAGAAAAATAATGTAATAGTTATTACCACTGAAACTTGAGCTGAAGTTGAATATGTAAATGGTTTCTTTCTTCTATAGTAATATATAGAGTGTTGTGAACCAACTAAAAACAAGACAAGGTGAATGCTCATCGTCATTAGAGATTCAGAGGTAACTACTTCATGTGCAAGAATCCATTGCCAAGAAACTTATTACCCCACTAATGTAAAGTTGGAAATAAAACCTTCAACTGCAACTGATGCAGCTGACTTACAATGATTGCTACAAAAACACTTGTATAATTATACTCGAAGAACCTAAAATTCCTTCTTCATTTTTTATTGTTTCACTTAGAATCCCCGAATCAATAGGCAAGCGGCAAATCTTCTGGAATATGGTCACACTGATGTTGGGGGCCTGCCACGGTATTTTTTAATGGTACAGTTTCTACAATGTGAAATTTGAAATTTATATCCAAAGAAATTTCTTGTAGCTAACATTAAAAGGCATTCTATCCAGTTTATTGATAAACAGATATAAAGAAAAATGACAACTGCGATTACTTATGACAGTATGAAGTTAATTGTAATACATCATTCTTTGAGATCCTAACCATCGCACCTGAATGTGAGGGCAGTGAACAACATCTTTCAAACTGCATTTTGTTTGTAATTACCAAAATTTTACTCCTTTAAGTTACTACACAGTTACTTTGTGATATTTCTAACAACATACTAAGTGGATTAAGAAAAAAGGATGAACATAAACTATTTGTAAACCATGTAAAACTCTGATAAAGGATTGACAGAACCTTCGACACATTGAGCCATGAATCCATCTCAAATAAAGATTTACACCATCGTCAATAAAAAACTTTAGGCATTGAGTTACGGATTTTACTTCCTTATATTGTTCAACTTTGTTATTCTTATTCGATGTGTCAACGTGTGGGACTTAGACTCACGTTGGATTTCCAGACAAGAGGGACCTGATACCCTTGCCTATCACACCAATGTTCCGACTGCAATAGGGTAATGAAAGAGTATTCTTTCAATCAGGAAGTGGGAAATTTATTAATTCCTTACCAATGCTGAATATAGGCAATTTAATTTCAGTATTACCTTTATTATCTTAATCAATCATGCAGTAACGAAATTATAACAGCATGTAACACACAACACTGAACACTATCTAAAGAACTCACAACTGTGGGGCCAGCGGAGTAATCAAACTCTTCAGCAATGGTCTTCTGCATTGTGGAAGCCGAAGCAAGCGTGTGCATCGATTTGTCATCAATCACCTGCACAGAGAGGTGCTTGTTGGACCGGAACACCGACAACCTCGGCCTCTCGGGTGTCCCTTCAACCTAACAAAGCAAAACAAGGACCAATAAAAGGTTTAAATGTTAGAAAACCAAAATCGAAATTGGGGAAAATGATTGAGTGAGTGAGTGAATGAACCTTCTTTCTGATGCGAGTGTGGCGCGCAGTTCTGTCTTCCCTGCGGGTCCTGACTTTGGCTTCAACCACGAAAGGTTTGAGCTTTGGGTGTGAAACTGTGGATAAGGAAGAAGAAGAAGATGAAGAAGAAGGGAATGCGCAGGAATGGAGGAAGGAGAGAGAAGAAGTTAACATTGTTTCCAACTTCACAGTAATCAGACACACCACCGTTTCTCCGGTTTATCATCACCTTATCCTCAATTTCGCTTTTCAAGCGTTACTTCAACTTTTTTTGGTTACTACTATTTTTTAAAATTACTTGATACATTTCTTAATTCTTTATTTTTTAATTAAATTTTATTCTTTTAATTTTAATTTTATTTTTAATTGAAAGTTTAGGTATAATTGTTAGAAAAATAAGTAAATTATATTTATTTTTCTTAAAGTTATATCAAGATATTCAACATTTAATAGATATGTTAATTTGGGGTTAATAATAACTATATCATTTCTGGATGTTAATAATTAGATAGTTATAGGTAATACTCTCTATCATGTTAACACTATTAATTTTTAAGTAAAATATAATAGATGTTAAGATAAAATTAACATATTTTCTAAATATTAAATATAATAGTGAATACATTTTAGAAATATGTATATTGGGGTGTTTATATTTCTTGAGGTTAAATTTATTTTTAAAACATGTAAAAAAAAGTTAAATTTATTATTTATCTTATGTATAATAATAAAATTAAATTTTGGATCAATCTACTGATGTAATATATTATTTTTAAAATTTTATTGTTGTTTTGAAAATTTGAAATAACCTTATAAAATAATAGATAAACTCTAAATAAAGGAGGTTCCAGGTAAAAAAAAAAAACACATGTATTTTTGTTTGTAATTAAAGATACTAAATTTTTTATTTGTCCACTTTTATGATAGGATCAAATTTATAAAAGTTTGAAATAAAAAATTATTAAATATATTAATGATAAAAAGTTATTTAAAAAAAAACACGTAAGCACACAAGTAGATAATAATAATAACATAAAAAAATTTACCTCGTATAAATACTAAATATCGAATCTCAATGACACAGATAAATACGATTTATTTTTATCAAAAACCAATATATAATAAAACAATATTAAGAAGGAAAGTTTTAATTTTTAAGAGTGTCGAAATGTTATGTTGTTGGCGAAAATATTTATACAATTTTTTAAAATAAAAAAAATAATATGTTATTTCATCAAAATCTTTTAATTATTTATCAAACTCAATGATTTAATAAAAATAACATAGTATTTTTACGATTATTTTATTATTATTAGGAAAAGTCCAATGTTTTATGAAAAACTTGATTAAATACACTGTCGAAAAACCTTATTTTCTACAAATGCTATTTTTAAAATTAAGTGTCCAGTAATATTTTCGATGAACTATATAGTGATATACAATAATATTAATAGAGTATATTTTTAATGTGAGAATATTCATATATTACTTCAGAATATTAATTTTTCATTTTCTTATTAAAAAACTAACTATATTTGACCTGAATTATTAAATGATATTGTCCTTTATGTAAAATGTAAGCATCTAATAAGTATGTGCCTTTTTTCATAAAGAAGAAAGAAAACTTAAAATGAAACATTGACTTAATAAAGCTATTGAGTCAATAAATACATAATTATGCTTAAATAGAAATACTTTACATAATTAATATTTTGTACAATAAATACATAATTATGATTAAATAGATATACTTAGACTAATTCATTTTAATCTTTTTATTTTACCTAACAAATATATAAGTGGAACGAAGTGGAATTTATATTTACTTTTTTGAAGTCAAACAATGCTAACGTAAATAGGTTATAAATATTTTAAGAGAATGCATTTAATAAGATAAGTTAAACAAGTATATAAATAAGAAATGGTACATAACTTTTTGTCAAATTACTTCTTGTTAAATTCGACTTTTATATTAATTTAATCTTAAAAAATAAAATAAAAAAGTTATTTTAATTTATAAACTTGTGTGAAGTTCATAAAAAATGTAGGGTGAAAATATTGGCATTAGAACTCACCCATATAAATTCATGCATCTAAACTTCAGCACGTTTAGAATGGAAGACGCGTTTGCTTTATTTGTTTTGTTTGTGGCATATTTGACTAAGCCCGTTCAAACTTGAGAGGCGTAATTGCTCGCCAACAAAGACAAAAATGTAATAGTCATGAAAACAAGGTAATTATTATAATAATAAACATTAATTACACAATTCGTGAAAGAAGACATTAAATTAAGTATTATAATAATAAAGAAGAAAAAATATATACATTAATTTATCTCATACATCTAAACTCAAATCTTTTGAAGGAGAAGGGTTAGAAGATTATGCAAAAGTAGTTTTTTTTTTAATCATATTTATCAATATTTTAAGAGCAAGTACAAATGAATATGACAGAAAAATAACAAAGAAGATGAAAAGGATGATCTTAAAGTTAACTTGACCTTTATAAAAGTTATATCTTCTAAGTCGGTGCTAAAACTTGCTAATATTACTTATTTAAATGCTGTTTTCGGTTTTTATGTTTATGTTATCTAATTGATTCCTTTTTTTTTAACCAGACAATAAACTATTTAATTAATTGATTTCATATAACACATCATATAAAACATGTTAGAAAGGTTAGATACTATAGTTGGTTAGTAGCTAACTATTAGTTGATTCTTCTTACCAACTATTTAAGACATTTGATAAACACTAATTCTAAATTTATAATTAGAAAGATAATAATTTTTCCTTTTCTTCTTCTTTTTCTTTGACCCTTCTGAATCATGTTTCTTAACATGACCAAATATAAATTATTATAAAAAAATATCTTTCCTTTCATTATAAAATTTTATATAAATGTCTATAATTGCATGTATAGTATTTTTATAACTATAATCCTTAAAACAAAGTAAATCAGTATTTACAATTTGTAAAATTCTACCCATAACTTTCAGACATTAGAACAAATATGTTAAATTTAAAAGTATACAATTTTTTCCAGCGTAAAAAATTATATACTATAATATTATCTTTTATGTGTACCCCTTTATCTAAGTTTTGGAGAATTTTACATAAAAGATTTAAACTGTTGTAAAAGATTTAGAGAAATTAAGTGGATTTTAAAAGAAAGAAAAAATGTTCTATCCTCTTTTATAAATTTGTATGTAAATAAAGTTAAAAAACACTAGGGGCTATTTCCCTTCACTTTGAATCCGTCACGAATAATCTGTGGTTGCTAATTGTTTCCTTATTATTTAATAAAACTATTTTACCCCTTTTAGAGAAAAAAAAACATTTATAAGTAATCTATCTATCTATCAAAAAAATTTATATAAGCATTTCTACCAAATCTATTTTTCAAAATTTCCCTTTTCCATCAAATTTTCCCTTCAACCTTTTCAAGTGTACAACCAAAGCACTGTGCAGTAATTTAAAATTCAGTATTTTAGTATGAATTTTTCTCATAATTTTTTAAACAGAAAAAAAAAAAACTTTTTTGATAACACGATCATGTCGGTCCCGGTGAAAATCACCATCTTGAACAATGGTAAAACAGAGGAAAAAAACAGAGAATAGATGAAGCAATGTACATTTCATATCAAGGAACAAAATCTCTCCATGATTTGTTCTAATCAATCATGGGGATTCCCTGTTAATAACTCCTTGACTTGCAAGAATTACAAAGTGAAATCGCCACCACCAGAAGGGGCACTGATCCAAACCTATCAAACAGCTACACATCGATCTCTTTTACTTTTCTACAATGAGAATTACATTCACACCACAGCCAGATTCAGAAGCTAGTCACCTAGCCAAAACAAGCCAGTATGATGCAATCCGTGACTCAAAAAACCAGCATACAAAAACATATGCTAATTGCTCAAGTAGAATCCTTTTTTTCTTGCTTTTTTTCGCTTAATAGATGAAAGAAGAGGGGAAATAGCACACGTGTCATGATGATGTTATATTGCAGGCTGAAGATTTTGACTTGTCAAGAATTGACCACATAACTTGAACATCTTCATAGCCACATGCCATGACTTCACCTTGCAGATCCATAATCCGGTTCTCTTGCTCTGCAGAATCACACAAGCCTATGATCAATAAACCAATACACGACAACATAAAAGTAATTGATGACCCATCAGTATGTTATATTATGTTCTGTACTATTTCAAATAAACACGCACACATACCTGTTTGAGACTTCTTATGGTCCCTCGGGGGTTGCTGGTTAAAGAAAGTGCACGCCTTTTTGAAAGGGGTGGCAATGGTCTTCTTCCATGAGGCCATGTTGGTGTTATGCAAGTGAATTGAGGCTTAGAATTTGTTGAAGTTTAATGATATTGGACTATTGGGTTGGTCTAATCTCTTGGCCTTATATAGTAGTATGCAGAGAAGTTTATGTGGGAGAATATCATAGAAAAAGAAACTGTAAGAGGCACACAAAGAGAGAGAGAGGAGCAAGATCCGTGAGATGAGGGTATAGATGGAAGTAAAATCACTCTTTTTATTCAATTCCCTTATCTCATCAAACAAAAGGTCGCCGACTGTAACCAAGCACATGCTGCACGCTTCCTCACACACCCTACTTACACGTGAATTCTTTTCCACTGGATTCTATTATTTCTTCTTTCTTTTTCATACCACAAATATTTTCTATGCTACAGAATTTTGCACAGATTAAATACAACTACTGCAAACATTAAAATTGAGTAAATGATTGGTTTAGCTTTTAAACCAGTAATCAGATAAATTGAACAGAACTATTACCAACAAGTAAAGGTCATCATCTATTCCAAAATTATTTTTGTTGAGTATTTAAAATAACCAACAACATATTTGAGACAGTTGATTAAAAAATCTAATGTTAATAGATTCACATGCATAATGGTAGATGTATTGTTATTATTATTAAAAAAAAAAAAGGAGGCAAAGGCTATTCTTACTTTGCCATATGTAAGGTAGGTTCTGGATTTTCGTGGAAGGTCCCCCTTTGCCTTTTTGCAACACATTTTTGTTTCCCTAGTTTCTCTTTGCAAATAAATCAAACACATTGGGTGCACAGTTTCATGTTCACTTACCCCTTTTAGACCTTCCAAGCTCCATGTTGCATACACCACTTTAATATATGTTTATATGTTTGTTTGTTTCCGTGGGCTAGGAATGTGGGTGGTGCAAGGTTACAAGAAGGAGATAAGCAAAAGGTGTTTTATTTAGGTCTTGGTCGTCTTTCATGGTTGTTTTATCTCCTAGGGGTCAACAATAATAATGATCTGAAAACTCTGAGCCCTTTGTGATGAAACAAGTTGGTCATTGGACAAAGGATTAGTTCCCAATTTCATGGCATGTGATGCCCACATGCTTTAGTGGGGAATGGGAACATGGATGACTGAACTTAAGGCATCCAAAAGAAAAACCAACCCTTGTGTTTGGGGTATCTAATTAGTAAGACCTTCATTTTCTGACCCATCTATCTAGTAGTAACCTATCTTTGACGGAAAAATATGCCCATATTTTAACTTTGGAATTGTATGGTCTACGTATAAATGTATTTTCAAACGAATAGAATAATCAAAATGGAATACAAGTGCAATGGTGCCGTAGATTCTAATTATGGGTTGACATGACATCACTTACATATAAGGATTATGAATATACAAAGTTTAACTAGTCTTAGAATTAGCTTAAATAAATAGAGAATATCCTAATGTCATGAGATATTTTAGATTTCAAGTCTCACAATGTAAGGTAACTTTAAATTGAAAATCCATTATAAGAAAATAGGTCAAAATTACACTACAAGAAAATAATTTATTACCGACGGATATTTACCGACGGATATGCAGACATCGGAAAATTAATGATTACCGACGGACATTACCGACGGATATGCAGACGTCAGAAAATTAATGATTACCGACAGACATTACCGATGGATATAATAAATTTGTGGAATTTGGTCTTACCGACGGATATATCCGTCGGTAAATGAAGAATTAATTATCGACGGATATATCCGTCGGTAAATTAACAATTAATTATATCTCCCTTAAGCCCGCACGACCAACACCACTCTCATCCCTTTCTACATCTCATTCGCTTCTCCTCTCCTACTCATCCTCAAGCCTAGATCTGCGCAGCACAACCACTTCCAGTCATCACCGACAGCCAACACGTCTCCACTAGTGCCTATTGTGAGCCCTAACCAACCCCCGCGAACCATCACTACCAATTGCGCCCCAATTTGATTTGTGACCCTCTCATTGCAACCGGTCATTACCTCACCGGTCCTCTGCCATCACGCCAACCACCGCGCACCTTCGAACCACCATCAAACAACACTCTCATTCCTTTCTTGATTTCATTCACTTCTCCTCTCCCATTCATCCTCAACCCTACATCCGCGCGCCACAGCCACCTCCAGCCATCACCTGCAGCCAACACGTCCCCAATAATGGCTATTGTGAGCCCCAACCAACCACCGCAAACCACCATTACCAGTTGCGCCCTAATTGGATTTGCGACCCCTTCATTGGAAATGGTCATTACCTCACCGGTCCTTCACCACCACGCCAACCACCGCGCACCTTCGAACCACCATCCAACACCACTCCCATTCCTTTCTCGATCCCATTGATTTCTGCTCTTCCACTCATCCTTAACCCTAGATCCGCGCACAATAACCACCTCCAGCCATCACCAGCAGGCAACACATCCCCAATAGTGGCTATTGTGAGCCCCAACCAACCACCGCGAACCACCACTGCCTGTTGCACCCCAATTCGTTGCAGGTTTTGTACCTTCCTTTGCTTGGTTATGGTTTTTAATTTTTTATTGTTTTGATTTTGTCCAACTCATGAATTTCCTTATTTATGCTGAAAATTTGATCAATGCGCTTAGATAAATGAATTGGAATGATTCTGTAGTTTGTGTGTTTTTCGTGATTTGAGATGCTTGGTGTTCAATGTCAATACTGAAACTGTTGATCAAGTAGCTTAGCCAATGAATGGAATGAGAGTGTGATCTAGTTTTTGTATGTGTGGAATTGATTGAGGGTTACAGGGGGGAATTTATTGTTGTTCTTGTTTGATAACATTCAGTATGAAGTCATAATTGAAATGTACTTATTAATGATGTTTATCTAGTTTTAGATTCATTAATGTTTGAATTTTAGTGACAGAGTGTTGGCTGAACATGATGTGCTTCGATTGCTACTTGTGATTTTAGCTTCATGTGATGTAGGCTTTTGTTGGAGTCATTGGATCACCTGTTATTTATGAATGTGACTTAGCATGGGTCAATTTTATAATTTTTACTGTCTTCGTTCTCTGTAGCAGTCTATCGTGAGCAGTTCTTATTTTCTACTTTCAGTAACTAAGCCTTACGCCTAAGCACTAGTTTCAATAGTTATAATCTCAGAACAATCAAGTTAGCCAAAATTTTACTGCTTGAATGCTCTCTGATTTTTCTCTTTTTAATCCAATTCTGTAACACGTCTAAGAAATTTCATATGGAAAATGCGAGCAAGTTTAGTGCTTGTTAGACACTGCCAATTGAAAATTTGGGATACATAAAATAAATTGCAGAAGACTACGAAATCCTTGTTGAAGTTGTTTTAAATTTTTGATTGGTTATTGTGTATAAGTTGAAGCATTTTCTCTCCAAAAAAATCCGGTTAAGCAGCAGAATAAAATAAATGAATTAATTCGTATCAATATTAGGTAACACAAATTTGAATGGTTTTGGTTATAATTTAATTTTTGTAGCTAGGATATGACTCATGTTAGATTAATATTAGTGAGAGTGAGTTAAACATGTAGACGGGGACTTGGGTTTATCATTCACGGTCTGCAGGGTGTTTCTTGTATACGTTTCTTTACGGAAATTGCAATTTGCTATAAAATCTCCCTTTACAATTACTTCTCTTTTGCCCATATCCACCGTGTACTCGTGTACTCGTCAACCCTGCATGTAAATAAATAGTTTTGTGACATGATGACAATCTTACTAAGATCAAATTATCTTAATAGGACAAAAGGACCAACCTTTCTGTTGTAGTCACATGCTAAAAGAATATTCATAATTAGGAAGACACTATACTAAGCTCATGTTGATAATCAGTCCTTTTTTTTTGGAGCAGATAGTGTGATTCAATAAAATTTTATTGATATTTTTTTCTAAAAAAAAAAGGTGACAATCGCATTTGTATCGGTTTAGTGTCGACTAACCTACATATTTGTATCAATTTAGGATCAATATGTAAGGTTCTTGTAATGATATTTTTTAGGTTGATCATTGTGTAGTTTTTATTTTATTTCATTTTTTCAATCAGCTTAATGGTTTGAAACGATTTGAATGGATTATGTAACATTCCTTCTTATTATTCAAGTTAAAAAAGATTATAAGTACATAAATTACAGAATGTTTATTTAGACTTTCTTTTTGCGCAATTAAGACAAAAAAATGGCAGAAGGATGACTTAATGGGAGAGGGAGGAAGAAATTAAAGGCATTTATCATAAGAAAATAAAAACTAAATAAACCAATATTCTAAAAATGTTATTAAAACGTCACTGTTGCATGTTAAGTCTTGGCAAATCAGACACCAAACAAAGGCTCCTCAAGCTGCAGGATTATCCATACTGATTTTTGAAAGGGGATTTATTTGTCCTGAGGTGAGTTCAATTCATGAATATTGACATTTCTTGATTTAACCTTGTTCATTCTTCCTTTTATATAATTGTAGTTATTCAATTCGCATTATACTTCTATAGTTAAACATTATACATCCACCATAGCTAAACACAAGAACTAAGCTACTTGGAAAAATGATGTACCTACATGTAGGTTTTAATAAATTGTTTTTATATTCTTTTAGCTTAGCAGTTTTATTGTGTCAATATGTGCACATTACAAGCTTACTAATTGTAATAATAATTTCAATTCATTTTTATATGTAAATATATTTTAGTACCCTGATTCCTTTCTTATTGAAGCCTAATTACTTGAAAATCCAAATGTTAAATTGGATTTGACAACATAAAAGTAGCTTAATATTATTATGTTGAATCCAATGTTTAGATTGGATTTTGTTTCAATTGATGTGAAGTGCAATTTCACTATTTGTCCAAGTCTATAGGAAATTTCATTTGTATCAACTTTTAGAAAATATAAAATTTTTAGTTGAGTCTTTTCACTCTATTTGAAACATAGTTGAATCAAAATCTAATGGTCGATTTCTTTCAAACAATTCCTTCAATTGATCTTATTCTCTTCAATATTACAGAACAT